GGGGGACTGGATAATAACTGGAGAGAAGCCATTGCAGGAATGACCTGAAAAAGTAGTACTTTGTTGTAGACAGGGTGGGGCTTCTCCTGTCTGGGGCTGCTCCAGGATTGCAGCGGGGCAAGGTGGGACTTTCCTCTGGGGGCGGGACTTGAGGCAGCACAGGGTCCCTGAAGTCTTGGGCCACTTAAGGAGTAAGGGGTTACCCCAGGAATGTGGGGTAGGGACTCCCTTGTAGGCAGTCTTCTGACGTCCTGGATAGGGCATGGGGTGGGTTCCTTTCAGTGGGCTATGGGGCAGAAACCCTACCTGAGGTGCTGCGCTGTCTCTTAGGTCCTGGGAGGTACCGAGCAGGGCTTCCTCACCGACCTGGCTGCTCACTGTGACATGGTTCAGCTTGCCTGCCAGGTGCTCCAGGCCCTCCTTCAGGGTTTGCATTGTCCGCATAGCCTGCTCCAGCTGGCCCTTGGCCTCAGCCCTGCGCTGCTCCTCTGCATTAAGGCCACCCTGCAACTTCGCCTGAAACTTCTGTTCACTGTAGGCAGTGGGGAGGCAGCTGTGCAGGTGCAGAAGACCCCACGGCCCCCACCCTCTCCTTGGGGCACTGGGGCCTCACCTCACTAGCATGGCCTCCCCCGAGTACTTGAGGTTTTCAAGCTCCTGCTGCAGCCGCTGCTTCTCTTCCTTCAGCCTCAGCAGCAGCTGCATGTTCTCACTCTTGAGAGTCTCCAACTGCGTGAAGGTGTCACCCTGCGCCAGGAACCGCCGCACCACCACCTAGGGCCCACCCAACCCCAGTCAGAGCCAGGGCCTGGACAGGCCCAGGTGCCACCTTCCTCCTTAAGTCCAGCATGAAGAACAGGTGGCCCGAGCTGGTGGCTTCTGTGCAGTGATGTTTAGTGACTCTGAGTAGGACTCAGGGCTGCCTCATGGGTGGGTAGCCTCGACAAATAATTTTTGCTGAGCCCTTCCCTCTCTATATCAGGAATTTGGGTCAGCCAGAAATCAGTGTGTGGGGTGGAATAGCAGTGACCATAGCTGCTTTCCAAAATCAAGGTACCAACAACATTACGGGGGCAAATCTCACCCAATCCCATGAAGAAACACTGGCTGGCTGTGGAAGCAATCCACCTACCAGGCCAATTTCTGAAAAAGTGACCAGCCACAGTGCCTCAGATGACACCATAGGTCCAAGTCCTGGAATTCCTCAGGGGTCATCCCATGGGAAGAGTGGAGGGCTGGAGAGTGCTAAATAGGGGGAAACCAGACTGGGGTGCAGCAGGATCAGTGTTTGCCAGCAGGGGACATAGGGTCTTAGAAAATCTCAAGGAAGACATTGCAAAGAGGGGGCCCAGGGCAGGAATTTGGCTTGTCTGGGGCCTAGGGTGGCACTGGGAAGTTTGTTGGGCCCTAGACCATGTTACAGGTGAGGTAGACACAGGAGAGGAGAGACAAAACTCCCAGTTCTTACAGAGCCTACATGCCAAAGAAGTCAGTGTCACTGGTGTAAGAATGAACAGAAGAGGAAATCATGGTGAGTATAGACAGTTTGCATGGGTTTTGCTGTAAGGAGCAGCAGAGAAATGGAGTGGTAGCTGGAGGAGGAAGGCTGTCTTTTAAAAAAGCAGGTTTGTGTGCTGAGAAATTGATCCAGGGCCCAGAGGCCTGCGGGCAGCACTCACATGTGCTTCGGCCACACCGGTGGCATCCTTGACCTTGCCGAAGAGCACCTCCACCTGGTACATGCTCCAGCGCTGCTGAAGCTCCTCCTCCTTGGCCTGTAGGCCATCCTGTATAGTATCTTCGGACTGCAGCAGCAAGTGCTCACGTTGGGTCTGCTCCAGGTTGAGGTCAGGTACAGAGTTAGGTTGTAGAAAAGGGCTTAGGACAAAGGCCAAGAAAGGGTATCTGGACAGAGAGCAGGTGGGGCCCAGTCTGGGGAGCCAGAGTAAAGGCTTGGGCCAGGTAAGGACAACCAAGCAGGGGTCAAGAGTGTGGGACAGGTTCTTGGTCCTGGCACTCCTGGGTGCACCCACCTTGCGCTCCATGCGTTCGTTCTGCAGTTTTCTCTCCTCCGAGAGTTTCTTGCACTCGGTTATGAAGTGCTCACGCTTCTTGCGCTCTAGAAACACAGTCTCCTCCAGATATTGCAGCTGATTCTGGAGGGTGAGCAGGGGAACAGCAGGGCCAGCTGGTATCTATCATGGCTCAGGGTCAGAGTGGCGGGCCCAACTGGGCCAGGCTGCAAGGTCCTGGGAGACAGATGGGAGGGCTCTGGGACAGCTGAGGTTCAGATCCTGGGGCCAGGAGACCATGGTGTCCCTGGGCAGGATCCCCAGGGACCAGTGGGTTGTCACCTTGGCAATGTCCCGGGCATTGAGTGCCTCCTGGTTCACCACATGCAGTTCCTCCAGCTCATGTTTTGTCTTCACCACTTCAGCCTCCATGGAGTCCAGACGGTTCTCCAAGTGAAGGCTCTCTTCCTGGGGTATGAGGAGTGGGGCAGATCTATGACCGCTGTCCCTGGCTAGGCTGGCCCTCCCACTTGCCTCCCCGTCCCCAGCCATTCTGGTCCCTACCTGTAGATAGTCCTTGAGCTGCAGGTACACATTGGTGATGTGTTCCGCCTCATCCGCCTTCATCCGGGCCTTCTCCAGGCGGTTCTCCAGGTTCCGCAAGGTCTAGAGGGAAGTAAGGCTGGGCTGAGTCCCCTCCCCACTCAATTCCTCCTCCCCAAGGATCAACTACCCCTCTGCCCTGCCTACCTCTGCACCTCAATGGCCCCACCTTAGCCACCTCAGTGTTGCCATCTTGCACCTCCGCCATCTCTAGCTCGCGCAGGCTGTGCTGCAGCTGAAGCTCCCCCAGCCACTTCTGCTGCAACCCCACCTGGTGCCGCAGAGCATTTCGCTGTTTTACCTTCTCACTCAGCCGGTGGTCCAGGTACTCCAGGGCCTGCTGGAGGGAGGATAGCGAGAGCAGGGGCCTGAATTCCCGCTAGTCCTTCCTCCATAGCTTCCTTCTCCCATATTTTGGTTCTCATCTCCCTGTCTCTGAGCAGCATCTGACCTGGCTGACTCTCCTGCACATTTTCTAATTTGGTGGCTTCCAGAAGCTCATTCCCCGGTGTTCCACCCACCTCCCTGTTTGCCCCTACTTTGTCTTCTTTGCCTTTGGAGAGACAGCCCCAGGCTCTTCTTTCCTATGTCTACATCCACCCCCATCATGATCTATCCAGCCTCAGGGTTTTAAAGGTCACCTATACACTGAAAACACCCAAATTGAGCCTTCCCCTGAACTGCAGGCTCATATGTCCATATCTACACTGCCTTCCAGATGTGTCCACAGGCACCTCAAAATCAACGTGGGCAAACTGAGCACTTGATTTTTCTCCAAGCCTGCCCTTTTCAAGTCTTCCCCATCTCAGCTCATGGAAACTCTGTCCTTCTTTCTAGGTGCCCAAGTCCAAAACCTTGATGTCATCCTCACCTCTTTTTGTCTCCCATCTGTATTCAACTGTTAGCAATTATCTGTTCTATTTCAAAGGTGCCCCCAGAGCGCTCTTTCTTCCTATTTCCAGCTTTCACCCTAGTGTACCCAACGCCATCTTTCATCAGAATGACCTCCTCCTGACTTCCACTCTTGCTTTCTCACAGTCTACTTTCCACTTGCCTGAGTCTTAGTATATAAAATCTGCACTCTTCATCATGGCCTGCTGCAAGATTCAGTCCTGGTGATTTCCCTGACCTCACCTCCTACCAAGACCCCTCACTCACTCCCATCTAGTCACACTGCCCTCCAACACTTTATACTTGTCCCTACCCCAGAGACTTTGCATTTGCTGTTCCCTTTGCCTGGAGCATTTTCCCCCCAGATCATTTCCTACCTGGCCCATTCTCAGCTCAAACATCACATCTTAGAGAGAGGGGTCTTTGCTGACTCCCACCCCCCAAATGAAAGTGCAAATCCTTGTCCCAGTGGGGACTTGGTCTGTTTTTTTTTAATTGCACAATCAACAACACCTAATACCATGCCAGGCACATGGTTGGTATGTGATAAAAATTAACTGAGTGAATAAATGAGTGGTGGCTGGTACAGAAAAAGGACGAGAGGGAAGGTCAGGAGGCAGGGAGTCTGGTGGGGAGGGGATCCAGGCTGGAAATGAAGGGAGACTGTCAGTGGAGTAGGGGTGGGGCAAACCTGTCCTGTCCTGTTCTTCAGGTATGGCTTCTCTGACTTCCATTCTCGAATCACTGCCTGGACCACTTTCTCATCTCCCTGCAAGGAGAGGAGCCCAGTCACCACTTACCTAGGCCACCTCTACCTGAGGCAGTGCCCTGCCCCTGGGAGTGTCGGTACTGCCCCCTTCACCTACTTCTGTACCCTTACCTGGAGCAGGTCCGTCAGCTGTAGTTGCAGCATCCTGGTCTCCTCATGTAGCTGGTTGATGGTTTCCTGATTCTTCTTGATGTTCCACTGGGTGCTCTCATAAAAGGCCTTCTGATCACTTTCTGGGGTCAAGTGATGTGGGCAGGTACAAGCAGAGCATCATCAGGAGTGGGAAAGACTTCCCAGAGGGATAAACTTTTTGTAATTATCAATTTAATATTATAACAATACTTCATACTTTGAGCATTTATTATATGTTAGATGCTGGACTAAGAACTTTCCAGGTATAAAATACCGTATACCAATAGGTGCATATCTGTATCATACCCATTTTATAGATGAAAAGATTGAGGTTCAGGCTTATGAGATTGTTCAAGGTCACAAACAGTCTGACTCCTGACCCTCAACCACTATGCCAGATTACCCCCTATTGGTAATAAAACAATAACAATAATGGTTTACACCAGGATTTCCCAACCTTGGCCAGACTGACACTGGGATGTACAATTATTTGCTGTGGTGAGCTGCCCTGTGCATTGTCAAATGTTGAACAGCATTCCTGGTCTCCACCCTCTAGATGCCAGTAGTACTCCCCCCCTCCCTCCAATAATGTGACAACCAAAAATGTCTTCAGTCCTGGCTGGGTAGCTCAGTTGGTTAGAGTGTTGTCCTGATAAGCCAAAATTATGGGTTTAATCCTCAGTCAGGGCACATACAAGAATCAACGAACAAATGCATAAATAAGTGGAACAACAAATTGATGTTTTTTTCTCTTTCCCATCCTCTCTCTCTAAAAATAAATAAGTAAGTAAATAAATAATTTTTAAAGCCTCCAGATTTTGCCAAATGCCCCTTGGGGAGCACAATAACCCTCTTTCATTGAGAACCTCTGGTTTACAATTTATAGTGTGTTACTATGTGCCATGCACTGCTCTAGGCACTTAACACATTTCAACTACCTATGGGGGTTGTACTGTTATCCCCATTTTACAGATGGGAAATTGACACCAATTAGGTTACTCTTAGTCCTCCAAGAGCAAACCACTAGTATATGCAGAGCCGGGATTTGAACCCAGAAAGCCTGTCTCTAGAACCTATTATTTTCACCGCACCATGCATAATAGTTGGAATTACACAAAAGAATAAGATACAGTCCAGTTGGCTCTGAGCCCCGGAAAAGTTTTGAGATGAGAAAAACCAAGAACAAGTATGAGTTTTTGCCTCCAGAATGGACCACCTGGATGAATACTGGTGAAGAACCCTTGTCACACCATGCTTAGTCACAGGGCTGAGTGGACACTGTTGACTCCGGGCCATTTTATGCCCTTTGGAGCCATCTTACCTAAAAGTTGTATCTTCTTTTGTAACTCAGCCACCTGCGCGAGCACAGCCGACTTCCCCCCGCTGGCATAGATGGGTCCCTGGGAATGGAGTGGAGGCCAGGCCTGTGCCGCGCCCTTGCCTCTAGGGTGGCGGCTTTTGGTCTGATCTTGGTTGATCTTGGCCTTGGAAGTAGTCGACATCTGGTCCTGAGAAGGCAGGCGGTTGGCGGCGGCCGCCCAGCACAGGGGCGACGTCATGATTGGGTTGGGGCCAAAGGCTCCTGAGGGTTAAAAGGGAGACTAGGATTCGCCTCTGCCTGGGATCCGTCAGTTCGGGTTTCTCCGGCTCAGAGAAAGCACTTTCCAACCGTTTGGCTGGGCCTCGCAGCATCTCCCAATTGCTAGGTAACCTCCTCCCCTCCTTCCTTCCGCGCTCCCATGGAAACCGTCCGCGTTCTGCACGTCTGCTCTCATTGGCTGATGCTGCGGGGAGGGGCGGTTCCAACAGGGGGCGGAGCAGAGTCCCACAGCCTTGCGGTGGGGGAGGGTACTTTAGACCACGTGTCCAACCGGTTTTTCTCCTCCCACCGCAAACCCACCTGCTGTTCGCGGGCTTTTTTCAGGAACTTTCCTTTGCGACTGTAGAATCCGCCACTCCCAAGATGGCGGCACCTTGAGCCGCCATTAAGCGCAAACCTTCAGAACTATTCCCTTTAAGGCTTCATAGTCCTATCCAAGATGGCCGAGTAAATTCTGGCGCCCCATTTGCCACTCCCAACATGGAGTCCCTGAGCCGCCGTTCTGGGGTTCAGCGTGTAACCGGAAGTGACACATACCGTACGTTTCCGCTTTTTTTCTGCCGGAAGAATAGTTGGCTGCTGGGCTAGGGGGGCGCGGTGGATATTGACCTTTACCCTTACTTCGTGTAGGTGATGAATTAGCGGGCGGCAGGGCACCCCAATTTCCTATTGGGGTAGCCCAAGGGTGTGCGTCGGGGGACGGGGAGACTGTTTACCCTTCGGCCTATTGGCGGGAATTGGCTAGTTCCCCCCACCCCCCACCCCCGTAGGGAGCGGAGGTTTTGAGATCCCCACCGTTGATATGCGCAAAGTGAGACTCCCCTCCACTGGGCAAGGCTGGAGAGGTATCTCCCGGTGTCTTCCCCCAAGAGTCTGGAAGCGATGGAGGAATCCAGTTGTCTGAAAGAAGAGGTGATTTCCTTTGGCTGGAAGTAACCCTCGGCCACTGACCAGCCGCCCCTTTCTTGCAGCGTTGGGGCACAGCGTGTCTCCCCGCAGCCTACTTCCTCCCAAAGAACCGGTTTCCGGCCTCTGAGCCTCCAGCGAGATGTTACTGTTGGTGCTGCTGCTCCCCGTGTGCTGGGCCGTGGAGGTCAAGCGGCCCCGGGGCGTCTCCCTCACCAGTGAGTCTGACCCTGGATGTGGGGGGTAGGGTGTGGAAGGAGCCACTTTGGCTCCTCGGGTAGGCATTTACCGCCTTTGGCCTCAGTTTCCCTGCCTCTAGGTAGGGAAGGTGGCAGTGCTCAGCCAATGAGTGAAAGCAGAGGTGCCATTAAGTTGAGAGGGCCTCTTCCTGCCCTGGGCTGAGTTTCTTGCTCACCTCCCCAGACCATCACTTCTACGATGAGTCCAAGCCTTTCACTTGTCTGGATGGCTCCACCACCATCCCTTTTGATCAGGTCAACGATGACTACTGTGACTGCAAAGATGGTTCCGATGAGCCAGGTGAGTTTTTTCTCCATTCATTCGTTATACCTTTGTTGAGTATCAGGTGAATGCCAGGTCCTGTGTGGTGACTAAGACAGACCCAGTACTGCTCCCTGTTGAGTGGGGAAAGTAGGCACAGAAGCAGGTGGTCGTTGGCTTGGTGAGGAGAGCCACGGATGCTGTGGGAGCCCAGAGAGGCCCCCATCTAATCAGGGAATTGGGAAGTGAGGTCTCAGCTGCATCCTGAAGGGTGCTGCAAATGGAGAGGCCAGCATGTTCAAGCACCCAGAGGTGGGAGAGAAGGTGGGGCATACGAGTAGGCAGAGACAGGTGAAAAAGAGGGAGGGAGCAATTGGTGGCCCTGTTCTGAGGGCCTTGGTGAGGAGAATCAGGAGGAAGCTCTGGAGTTTTGTTTCAGGTGCTGAGTGTGCAGCTGTCTCTCTTTTTGTTACTCAGCATTGATTGTTCTACTTTTCTTGTGCTCTCTGTGTGCATGTGTGTCCAGGATTCTGTTTGGTGGATGTGATGGGTAAGGCCCTGAGCACACTCTGAAAACTCTCCCTTCCTTCTTCCCCACAGGAACAGCTGCTTGTCCTAACGGCAGCTTCCACTGCACCAACACTGGCTACAGGCCCCTGTACATCTCCTCCAGATGGGTCAACGATGGGGTTTGTGGTAAATGAGATCCCTTTGGGGTTGGGGAAAGAGAGGTGGGTGGAAGGAGAAGGAGACACTGCTAGATCTGATGGTGCCCCCTCTTCTGCCCTAAGACTGCTGCGATGGGACAGACGAGTACAATAGTGGGATCGTCTGTGAGAACACTTGCAAGTACGTGGGTGCCCCACCCAGGACATTGCCCCTACCCCATGAATCAGGCCCCCTCTGTTTTCTTTTTTTTGAGTATCGAGCACTCAGTCTGTGCCAGGTCCGTTGTGAAGGCTCTACCACCAGTTTTTCCCTCTGGCCGGGAAGCAGGTGCAGTCATTTGCCTGTTCAGTAGGTGAAGAAGCTCAAGTTTAGAAAGGAGAATGACTTCTTTGGGGCCATGTAGCTAGGAGATAGCAGAGTTGGGACTCAAATCCAAGTCAGTCTAATTTGAGACTCCATGCTTTTAATTGCTACACTGTGGAGCAAGACCTGAAAACTGAAATGTCTACAGGCAGGTAATCTAAATTCCAGAAGTAGACTGAGTATAAGTCATTAGAGAGTGGTGGGGATTGTGGCATCTAAAGAGACAGCTGCCCTCGACTCCTGTCAGTTGAGGGCAGGTGACAGGGCCTGATTCATTTTTCAACGAAACCAAAAGTCCTGATATTTATGTAAACTCTCCTGATTGAAGATATTTTCTTTTAAGTAGAGGGTTGATCACACATAACATGCTTACTGGCCAGATTGTCCCAAAGCCTGTGACTTCTGTGCTTTTCTCTCCTTTCTCTCTTGGGAGCCAACTTCCAGCCTCATATCCCAGCACTCCCTATTCTCTCTCCTGACCCTGAGGGTGCGAACTCTGCTCACAGTCTCTTCTCCCAAGGACAGGGATTCGGGTCTCTGAGGCCAAGAGAGTCTGGGGACATGGAGGAGGAGGGTTTGCTCTCTTATCTTTTCCAGTATGGGGGTGGCAGATGGGCTTGAGCCCTTTTGGAAGAGGCAGCTCTGATGGGTCCTAATTGCCCCCTGGTGGTGCCTGTGTGTCCCCTCACCCCAGAGAGAAGGGCCGCAAGGAAAGAGAGACATTGCAGCAGATGGCAGAGGTTACCCGCGAGGGGTTCCGCCTGAAGAAGATCCTTATTGAGGACTGGAAGCAGGCCCGAGAAGAGAAGCAGGTGAGGGGCTCCGCGGGGCTGACCCAGGACAGTCTGGGCCCTGAGACCTGGAGGCATGCGCTGGCAAGGCCGGGCAGGGTTGGCAACTCCCTATGAGTGGTGTGTAGCGCCAGTAATTGTCTGCACCGTGGTTTACTCATTTGTCTACTTAGCATTTAGTTGTTGGTTAAGCCATTACCAAGTGGACAGGGTCAGCACAGGCGTTGTTGGAGCTTTAGGTGGCAGGCTGAAGTGGGCTGAGGGAGCTTTGCTGCCTCCTAGAACAGGAGGGGTGCATCTCTGCATTCTGGGTCTGTGGTTCTGTCATCTATAAGGTGGGGCTGATGACTGTGTGACTGGAGGAGGACTCAAAATAGTATCAGTCAGCAGCAGCTGGGTTAGTTCAACAGGGTGGGTGCTTTGGGGGCCGGAAGAGGGTGTACCCCCAAGTGTGTGTCTCCCATGCCTTCCATCCCCTTGGCTGTTTGATGGGTCAGAGTCCTCGACGCTGCTTCTGTGCTCCTGCTCAGCCCAGTGAGCAAGGGTTCCAGTTCTGTGTCTCTGCCCAGGAGAGGTTCCAGGTCTTTTTCTCCCATCCCCATGGCCTGGCTAGTGAGGCTTCTCCCAAATTCATGGGGCAGTGAGGCCCTCCCAAGTTTGGGGACAATGAGCTTCTTCCTGAGTTTAGGGGATAAGGGGAACTATCTGGTAAGAATGTCTCCAAGTGACCTTTGCCCTCCTGGAGAGTTGGGAGGATCATAGCAGCAGTCCAGGCTGAGGCGTCAGCCAAGGTCTTGGGAGGAAAGTGATCTTGTGGGCACTCAGGCTAAGACCTACAGCTTGGGAGCCCATTCCTGGGCTAGAGTCCATCCAGCACACTCACTTCTTGAAATATACACAGAGGCCCAGGGTGTACTGGGCACTGGGCATGAGGCTAGAAGCTTACCAGGAACTGCCTCAAGGGTGCATTGTTCTGTGGGAGGGACAGACAGAAAATGATGCAAAGGGTTGCTGGGCATAGAGGAGACACTCTCACATGGTTTTTGGTCTTGAAGGCAGGAGGATGACGCGTCTTAAGCTGAAATCTGTAGGGTAATTCAGAGGTAGTCAGACGGAGTGTTCCAGATAGGAGGAAAACGTGTGAAGAACTGGAGGCAGAGAGCATTCGGAGGTCTGAATGTTGTTGGGGCAGTTGGATCCTAGAGTTTAAGATAGCAACAGGGCCCTGGCTGGTGTTGCTCAGTGGTTAGAGCATCGGCCCATGCACCAAAGGTTTGCGGGTTCAATTCCTGGTCAAGATCATGTACCTGGTTTTCAGGTTTGATCCCCGGCCCTGGTCACGGCACGTGCAGGAGGCAACTGATTGATGTGTCTCTCTCGCATTGATGTTTCTCTCTTCCCCCTCCTTGCTCCTTCCCTCTCTTTCACTCTCTCTCAAAACCAATGGAAAATTATCTTCCGGTGAGGATTCACAAAAAAATAAAATAAGATAGTAATGGGGCAGATGGAACTGGAGAGGCAGCAGGGGCATGGTCACATGGGGCCTCATAACTACATTAAGGTGTTTGGGTTTCTCTTCATTGGGCTGTAGGAAACCACTGCCGGGGTGGGGGGGCACCCAGGAAGGTGTGAGTTTTTGAAAGATCCTGCAGGTGCCCTGTAGAGTAGAGGCAGGGAGGTGGCAGTCTATGAGGAGAAGGTAGAACAAGAGGAGAGCTGGTCCTTTGCCTTCTGCCCACCCAGCAAAAGCTCACTGAGCTACAGGCCAGAAAGAAGTCCCTGGAAGACCAGGTGGAGATGCTACGGATGGTGAAGGAGGAGGCTGAGAAGCCAGAGAAGGAGGCTAAAGACCGGCACCAGAAGCTCTGGGAAGGTATGTCAAGGGTGGCTATGACTTGCCCTTTGTTCCCGGCCAGGAAGAGCCTGGGCCCAGGAGACTTGCTCATCATCTGTTTGTTTTTCTTGCTGACTTTTTTGATCATGGTGCCTCATTTCCCCACGTGCCTAGTTATCTTTGACTGTGTGTTGGTCATTGTACTGGACAGTCATTTACAGGAATAATTTGCAACCTAAGATGAGAAGTCATTCTCTAGATAGGAGGGGCTTTTCTTTCTGCCAGCCACGCGGGAACATGACCATTCAGGGGTCCCCAAATCTAAATTCAGGCTGGAGCTGAGATTTGAGTATAGGCTGGGTGATTTCCCATCCTGCCTCTCTCCCTCTAAGGGGGTAGCCCATGAGGGTCACAGTGTAGTTACTTGTGGGGGGGGTGGAGTGTCTGCTATTATGCTTCCCACCTTGGACTTTGATTTCTGTCTCCTTGACCTCACAAGTTCTCATCAAGACAGACACCCAGATTCGCCAGGATTGGCAGGTCCTTTAGGGCAAAATCAGCCTCCACATCTCTTACCTTTCCAAGTGCCTCTTTGCTCTGGTAATTCCTACTGCCTTGGTTGGTTTTAAGATGGTTTTTTACGCCATGCTCAGCATTTTCTTGCTATTGGCAGGTTGTGTCACATTATGGGATATTGGAAGCCTTGGTCCTTGTACTCAGTCTGCTCTTTTGGAGGACATACCATGGAAGCAGATAGAAGGGGGAGGTGGAACAGAAACCCTCTAGTCCAGACTAGTTAAAGGACAAAGCATTGCTGGAAGGGTTTGGATGTGTGGCTCCAGCTGTTCGTATGGCTGGTAACGAGGAACTGGGCAGCCCCTGTCTGAGGCCAAGCTGTTGATATCCTCCATCTCTCTGGGCATCTGCTGCATTCTTTCTTCCCTTTCTCTCTTCCCTGACGTCTCATAATCAATAATTCAGTAGTTTATCTAACAAATATTTGCTGAGTGCCTGCAATGTGCCGGGTGTACTCCAGATGCCAGCAATACAGCATTGAACAAGCTGGAGAAAGCCGCTGCCTGCAGAGGGAGCAGGTGCAAAGGCCCCAAGTTATGACCATGTCTGGTTTTTAAGGAGCAGCAAGGTGGCCATGTGGCTGGAGGGAGGGAGGAAGGAGAGTCGAGGAGAGACAAGGGTAGGGATTAATGGGCAGGCCGTACAGGACTTTAAGGACCATGGGGAGGACTTGGGCTTTTATCCCAAGTGAAGTGGGGGCCATAGAGGATTTTGAGCAGAGGAGGAGGGGGAGCCAGGAAATCAGGGAAGAGCTGACTACCGAGAGGCTCCTTGTCCAGAATCTCAGTGGCTTGTTGGGTGGAGGCACCTGCAGGGACTCCCCCTTCTTCTCTCCTCAGTGGAGGCCATGTCCACCCCACTCTCTGGCCTTCCTTTATCTCCTCTCTTTTCTGGGTGGTCATGTTTGGCAGCCACCTTCCCTCTACTTAGAAATATGCTCAGATTTCTACTGACCAAACAGCTGTCCCCAAACTTGGCCTTCCCCTCCAGTTCCGTGAATCCAGGTAGCCTCTTTCTCTTCGTCCTGATTGAGCCGGCTTCCTTTACACTGTCCTGGTTTCTGAGGCCTGTATTTCCTGTTTCTTAGCTCTGTGAACTTTTTCTCCACCTCCATGGAAGCCACTGCTCCATGAAGATGGTTTTCCTGTTTTATTCCTGGCGGCCCACATGCTCCTCCTCCTGTTCAGTGGGCCCAAGACCCTGGAGCTTCTTCTGGGCTGGGACCCGGACCTCTGGCTTCTTCTCTTTTTGGTTCCCCACCCACAAATCCAGCTGTACCTGAATGTAACTGCCCCTAGATGTCCCACAGGGACTCCAGACTCACCAGATCACCTCCCTTGCCTGGCCACACTCCCACCCCAGTCTCTGTTCCCCAACCTCTTTCATGTTGGAAAGAGAGCCTGGTGAGGTGCTTGGGCCTCTTCTCCTGGGAGCCACCCAGACATGACAAACCTAAGGCATGGTCCCCCTACCTGCCCCTCGCATGGTCTCTGACAGCCCCAGCTTGTTTAGATAAAAATCCAGGGCTGTCCTTGACTATACCCCACAGTGGCCTCAGGGCCTCAGTGCCCAGCATAGGGCCAGGCACAATCAGCTGCGTGGGGTGTTAGGGGAGGGCAGATTTTAGGGTCGGGGGAGCCAGCGGGCAGAGTGAAGAGTGACAGCTGGCCCTTCCACAGAGCAGCAGGCCGCCTCCAAGGCCCAACGGGAGCAAGAGCTGGCAGTCAGCGCCTTCCAGGAGCTGGATGACAACATGGACGGGGTGTGAGTGTGCCCATGCTGCCCACCCTGCCCAGGCCTGGGTTCCCCTCCTCCCACCTATCTTTAGAAACCAGCCAGTACCCCACCTCCTTGTCATGGGGCCTGAGCTGGTCCCAAGCTCTCTCTGAATGAACCTTTACTTATGTATAAAATGGGTCTAGAACAGGCAGGTGGTTGTGGAGGAGATGAGGTGAATCCGATCTCCCAAGGAGCTGAGTGAGGTGATGAGGGACCCTACTACTCTTTCCAAGCCTACTCTGAGGTCAAAGCCAGAACCCTTTGGGTCCCGGCTGTGCCCCTGGCCCCAGCAGTGGAGGGTCTGCTGTCGGGAACAAGAAGGCTGGGCAGGCACCCTGGTAAGGAGCAGGGAGCTTCACAAGAACCAATGGAGCAGAATGTGCAGGGTGGGCCATTCCCTGGTTGGTAATGGTGACAGGTAGGGGACATAGTGTGGTTTCCAGGCCATTGTGGTTATGGGCTCCTCTAGGTGGAGGGCACCAGGAGGCAGTTTGGATGTGTTGGCTTCTGAGGGTAGAAGGAAATGGATGCTGCTGGTAGGTCAGGAGAAAAGGGTCTTGGGGGACATAGGGCCCTTTTTGCCTCCTCTGTGCCCCTTTAGTGTTGTAGAGACTTAAGGAAGGGGTAGGAAGCAGGGGACTGGGTTGCGGAGACCTATTCTTCCCAGGAGTAGGGGCTGGAGGGGGGCCCCAACCCTAGAGCTCACATTCTCCCAACTTGCTGCTTCTCACCCCTCTGTTGTTTTCTGCCTGCACCCATGCAGGGTCTCAGTGGCCGAGCTGCAGACTCACCCAGAGCTGGACACAGATGGGGATGGGGCCCTATCAGAAGGGGAAGCCCAGGTAAACTACCCTGCCCCTTGGCCGGGACTCCTAGAGGGGATTGCCCTAGGGAACTTGAGGGCCAGGGAGTGGGGGACAGGCTGGCTGTGGGCTGCTCCCATGGAAAGCTCCCTGTTGGCCCCAGGCCAGGGTTGCTGGGGCACCTGGCCTTGAGTGAATGAGCCAGGAAGGCAGCCTCCTAGCGTCACTTCTCTTTGCCCTTTGGAGCCTGGTGGGATCATGTGGGTGCTATAGGGTGCCTGGTTAGGACAGAGCCGGGTTTCCTACTCACTTGGCCCCACTGGCTCCCACGAGTATGTGTACCCAATTTGCACTCCTCACGTATGGGCTTTTGGCTCTCTGCGCAGTCTGGACGCTGCTCCTCTGCCCTTGTGGTCATCTCTGTCCCTGCTGAATGCCTTCCTGATTCTCCTCTGCCTCTGCCTCTCTGCCTCTCTGCCTCTCTGCAGCCTGGTGATCTCTGGTGCTTGTGCTCTTTCTCTTTCCCTCTCCTCACTCTCTCTGGCGAGGGGTTCCTCTTTCCTCCTGGCCTGTGCTGCCCCCTTCTGGCTGCTGCACCTCACTCATCCTGGCCCAGGCATGGCCTTGGCTGTCAGCTAGTCGACACCTGGCACTGTGGCCTGAGGCTCCCCCTTATAAGTGGCTAGGGCACAGAAAGGGCCCCTGGAGGCCCCATCCTGATACCACCCCAACACATGCACACAGACCCTGCTTGGGGGAGACACGCAGATGGACCCTACCTCCTTCCAAGACCACCTCTGGGCTGCCATCAAGGACAAGTACCAGTCTGAGGTTAGTGGGGGAGGGGAGAGGATGCAGTCGTGCCCTCGCCCTCCTCCCCAGCCCCCTAATGCCTCACAGAGGAACTGCTTCCAGTTCTGGCACCAGGCCACCTTGGCCAGCTGGCCACCCCAACCCCCCCCCCTCCAGCTGTCTATTCCTCCCTCCAGGCCCCTTGGAAGGGGCAGAGGCACTGAGGCCACCCTTGGGGCGATGGTTTGAGTGTGGATGCAGCCCCACGGGGTGGAAGGCCGACCCCAAGTCCACAGCACTGAGCACCCTACATACCAAACAGGTTCTGCCCACCAGCCCGCCAGCACCTTCTGTGCCTGACCTGATGGAGCCTAAGGAAGAGCAGCCCCTGGCGCCCCCACAGCCCATGGAAGAGGAGGAGGAGGAGGAAGAAGGGGAGACAGAGGAGGAGGAGGAAGAGGAGGAGGAGGATTTCCAGGTGCAGGGGGAGCAGCCCAAGGTGTGTGTATGGGGGAGAAAGGGGTGTGGGAACTGGGGCAGGGTCACTTGCTGATTTTGCCCCTTCCTCAGGAGGCACCACCCCCACTTACACCCCCCCAGCCAGCCAGCCCCACCGAGGACAAAATGCCACCCTACGATGAGCAGACACAGGCCCTTATTGACGGTGAGTGCTCACTGGGCCTGGAAGGAGGAGACCTTGCCTATACCTGCCCCCCATTGCCTTTACCTGTAGGCACCCAAGAACCAGGCCTGGAGGGGTATCTGGGCCCTGGAGAGGCCAGTACCACCCCTGCCAGCCCCAAGGGCCCTTCTGCCTCCTCACTGGCTGCTGTTTGTTTGTGCCACGTTCACGGGTGGGGAGCCAGTGACGCTGCAGGAGCCCTAGCACTGATTCCTTGGGAGCCAAGACCTTGGGCAGTGGGGTGGGATCTGCAGCTGGCGAGACTCACGGAGTTTCTGGGTGCAGTCCTACCCAGAGCAGGCCTGGGGGGCCGGGAAGCAGACGTGACCAGCCACCCCTTCCCCTCTTCCTAAATTGGGTGGGGGCGCCTCTGACCTTCTCCCCCATTCCACCTCCCACCAGCTGCCCAGGAGGCCCGCAACAAGTTTGAGGAGGCCGAACGGTCCTTAAGGGACATGGAAGAGTCCATCAGGTATGGGAACACGGGTTTGGCCACAGCAGGGTGGAGTCTCCACCTGCCCCACAGTCGGGCTCCCCAGAGGTGGTGATAATGGGTTGCCAAGGATACTGCTGCTACCAAAGCTGGCAGTGGCTCCTAAGGGGAGGGTCCCCAGGTGGCAGGAAGCCAGAGCCCAGCTCCTAAGTGGTCCTCCATTAATCACGGGGACTTCCAGCATTGTCCTGAGTCGATGTGTGGCTGCTCAGCTGCCTCTTCACCACTTGGCCTTCCCTTGCAGGAACCTGGAGCAGGAGATTTCCTTTGATTTCGGCCCCAGTGGGGAGTTTGCCTACCTGTACAAACAGTGCTACGAACTCACCACTAATGAGTGCGTCACCCCTTCCCCCACCCCAAGGGCAGACGAGTGAACTTGGAGGGTCTCAGCATGAGCAAGGTCATAGGGGAGTGAGGGGGCAGCTTTAGGGGCAGTCCGTGGAGTTTTGAGGGCCTGGTGCGCACCCCTGCCCCTACACCATGTCTGGGGATATGAGGGAGGCTGGGGTCCTGTGTCTGCCCCACCTACCAGTCCCATCCTATGACAGGTACGTCTACCGGCTCTGTCCCTTCAAGCTTGTGTCACAGCAACCCAAGCTCGGCGGCTCTCCCACCAACCTCGGGTGAGTGGGCTTAGGCTGAGCCCCCCTCCTCTTGATACCCCAAGTCCCCAGCCAGCCCACCCTCAGCACACCACTCTCCCGCAGCACCTGGGGCTCGTGGGCCGGCCCTGAACACGACAAGTTTAGCGCCATGAAGTATGAACAGGGCACTGGCTGCTGGCAGGGCCCCAATCGCTCTACCACTGTG